AGGAAGGAAAAGAAATTTAGGTCACTGCCTAGTTTATAGCTCTATCTCTATATCTATCTTAAGCTAAATTTAAAACCAATGTCCATTTTCTGGTTTTTTTAGTTTTGTTTTGTTTCACCTTTTTGAGACAGGGTCTTGCTATGCAGTTCAGGCTGACCTTGAGCTCACTTTGTAGCCCAGGCTGGTCTCGAACTTGCAATGATCCTCCTGCCTCAGCCTCCTGAGTGCTGGGATTATAGGTCTGGACCACCATGCCCAGCTCGCAATGTTCATTTTCATCACATTTCCAATACCATCTCTCCCATCACTCACTGAAAATGGTCAGTCTTTGCTGCAATGTGGGATTCTTGAGAAGGAACTCTGATCTATTCTAACCTTATTTATTTCAAGGGGAAAAAATGCCAGTACAAAGCAACAAGTTTATTTCATGACCCACAAACGAGTCACAACCATAATGTGAAAGGCAACTATATAAGCTAAATTGTCCATTTACAGTTGAATGAAAATAAGGTTTCTCAGTTGTGGCACTCCTGACACTTTGGACCGGCCCGTTCTCTGTTATAGGGCTGTCCTGAGCATTGCAGGAAGTTAAACAGCACCCCTAGCCACCATCCACATGCCTGTATGTACCCCTCCCCCTCCCCAGGCTGTGACAACTGTATCCAGACTGTGATGAATGTTCTGATGGAAAAATCACCCCTGGTTGAAAACCAGTGATTTAGACAGACAGAATTTGGCATAAACACAAATCCCAGGAAAAGCTCTCTCTGTTATCCCAGGGGTTAGAAAATATGTAGTTTTCAAGAGCAGAGAACCATTTCAAATGGCCCAAAGGCTTGCACATCTAAGGACACAGACTCTCAAGGGAGGTGAAGTTCAAGGTTCTTACCCACAGCAACCAGGTTCTTAAAATTCTCCACCATTACATCTTCATACAGTTTCTTCTGGGTATGGTCCAGCAGCCCCAGTTCTTCAGTGCTGAAGACCACAGCCACGTCCTTGAATGTCACTGCCTCCTACAACATCAAACACAGGTAGCCTCAATCCTGTAATGCCCCTGGAGGAAGGAGAACACTCAGGAGAAAGAGGATACTGAAACACAAATACGACAATCAAAAAAACCCCAGAAAATTAGTCTCCTATCGTAAGACAGGAGAACACTGTACCTGAAACCTGGTCATTTTCTCCTGTTCCTTCTGGGGAAGGTCAGAGTCCTGGAAAGGCATAACTGGAGAAGGAAAAGGAGGCCATGAGACACAGGTCAGAGCTGCCATTAACCCAAGTGGATCTTCATGGAAATGACACAAGGGTGGCCCTGCTTCCTCCTGGACAGATACAGCCACATACAGCTTGGTGATCAGAGCAGGGCCTAGATGCCAGCTACTAAGCTGCCTTCCAGTTCAGTGCCGCTGGGCAGTAAGAATTTCTATAAATAATCTCCCCTCCCCTCCTCCTTTTTTCTTTTTTATGGAACTAGGGATTGATTCCAATTCCTGTGTTTTTGGTATTGTCTCTAGTGATAGGTCCCAAGAACGAGGTGCCCGCAGATGAGTAAGAAAAGGTAAACAA